TCCAAGACTTTTATCATGAAGGAGTGTTGGATTTTGTGAAAAGCTTATTCAACATCTAATGAGATGATCATGTGTTTTTTTTTCTTTCAAATTGTTTATATGGTGGATTACATCAACAGATTCTCATATGTTGAACCAGTCCTGCATCTCTGGGATCAAGCCTACTTGATCATGGTAAATGATCTTTTTGATTTGTTCTTGGATTCGTTTTGTGAGTATTTTATTGAGTATTTTTGCATCAATGTTCATGAGGGAAATTGGTCTATAATTCTCTTTCTTTGTTGCATCTTGGTGTGGTTTGGGTATCAGGGTGAATGTGGCCTCATAAAATGAATTGGGCAATGTTCCTTCTGTTTCTGTTTTGTGGAATACTTTGAGGAGTATTGGTATTAACTCCACTTTGAAAGTCTGGTAGAATTCTGTGCTAAAACTGTCTGGCTCTGGGCTTGTTTTGTGGGGAGACTTTTAATGACTTCTGCTATTTCCTTAGGGATTATAGGTCTATTTGTTAAATTGTTAAACTGTTAAATTTGATCTTGATTTAACTTTGGTAAGTGGTATCTATTGTAGCTAGATGTTTTCTCTGGTCCTGTGGAATCTCCCCGACCCGTGTCCCACGGCTGCTTGGTCCCAAATAAACACACACAGGCTTATATTATTTTTAAACTATGGCAATGGCAGGCTTCTTGCTAGCTATCTCTTATATCTTAAATTAACCCATTTCTATAAATCTATGCTTTGCTATGTGCCTTGTAGCTTACTGGCATTTTTACATCTTGCTTCTCTTGGCGACGGCTGGCAGCATCTCCTTGCCTCTCCTTTCTCTTCCTTTCTATCTGTTTGGATTTCCTGCCTGACTCTAAGCTGCTTTGCCATAGGCCAAATGGCTTTATTTATCAACCAATCAGAGCAACACATATTCACAGCATACAGAAAGGCATCCACAATACTTCTCCTTTTCTTTTTTTCAGAAAGGAAGGTTTTAACTTTCACATAGTAAAATTAAATATAATAGAACAGTTATCAAGCAAGAATCACAGTTACAATATCCAGTCCACTTATATTTGATAAATTCAAAGAAAATATTTTTATTTATCCTATATTTATGAGTCCAAGGTTTCATATCTAACTTATCTCTTATCATAACCAGGCAAAATTATAACTATCTAGTCTTCAACTACATCAAAGACCCCAGAAGGATATAATATTACCTAACTAAATAGGAAATGCATTGTAAGCAACTTCCAAAATTCCTTTTATTTAGACATAAAAGGGGAAATGCTGTGGGATAATGCTTTTGTACACTAGTTTAATAAGACACTGATTGGCCAGTAGCCAGGCAGGAAGTATAGGTGGGATAAGCAGACAAGGAGAATTCTCAGAAGAGGAAGGCTGAGTTAGGAGATGCCAGGCTGCTGTTCAGGGAGCAGCATGTAATGGCACACAGGTAAAGCCATGGAAAACGTGGTGACATATAGATTAACAGAAATGGGCTGAGTTTAAGTGTAAGAGCTAGTCAGTAGTAAGCCTGAGCTAATAGCCAAGCAGTTTTAATTAATATACCTCTGTGTGTTTACTTGGATCTGAGCAGCTATGGACTGGGCAGGACACAGGAAAACTTCTGACTACAATCTATCAAGAAAATTGTCCATTCTTTTAGATATTCCAATTTTGTGAAGTACACCTTTGAAGTATGACCTAATGATTCCTTGGATTTCCTCAATGTCTGTTGTTATGTCTCTCTTTTTATTTCTGCTTTGTTAATTTGGATATTCTCTCTCTGTCTTTTAGTTTGGATAAGGGTTTGTCTATTTTGTTGATTTTCTCAAGGAACCATCTCTTTGCTTCATTGATTCTTTATGCTATTTTCTTTGTTTTTATTTTATTGATATTAATACTCAGTATATTTCCTGCCAGCTACTCCTCTTGGTTATGTTTGCTTCTTTTTGTTCTAGAGCTTTCAGGTGTGCTGTTAAGTTGCTAGTATGAGATCTCTGCAGTTTATATATGAGGGCACTTAGTGCTATGAACTTTCCTCTTATCACCGCTTTCATTGTGTCCCATAAGTTTGGATATGCTGTGCATTCATTTTCATTGAATTCTAGCAAGTCTTTAATTTATTTATTTATTTCTGCCTTGACCCAGTAGTCATTCAGCAGAGAGTTGTTCAATTTCTATGAGTTTGTAGGCTTTCTGTTGTCTCTCTTGTTGATATCCAGCTTTAATCCATGGTGGTCTGATGGGATGCAGGGGGTTATTTCAGTTTTCTTCTCTCTGTTGAGACTTTCTCTGTGACTGAGTATGTGGTCAGTTTTGGAAACTGTTCCATGAGATGCTGAGAAGAAAGTATATTTCTTTGTGTTTGGGTAAAATGTTCTGTAGATCTCTATTAGGTCCATTTGGTTCATAGTGTCTGTTAGCTCCATTCTTTCTCTGTTTAGTTTTTGTCTGCATGACTTGTCCATTGGTGAGGATAGGGTATTGAAGTCTCTCTCTTCAATCTGTGAGGGTTGGTGTATGATTTAAGCTTTAGTAGTGTTTCCTTTTTAAATGTGCATGCTGTTGTGTTTGGAGCAGAGATGTTAAGAACTAAGAAATCATCTTGGTGGATTTTTCCTTTGATGATTATAAAGTGACCTGTCTCTTTTGATTAACTTTGGTTGGAAGTCTGTTTTCTTAGATATTAGAATGACTATAACAGTTTGTTTCTTATGTCCATTTGCTTAGAAAAACTTTTTCAAACCCTTTACTCTATGGTAACATCTATCTTTGATGTTGAGGTGTGTTTCTTGTATGCCGCAGAAGGATGGATCCTGTTTTCGCATTCATTCTGTTAGTTTGTGTCTTTTTATTGGGAAATTGAGTCCATTGATATTGAAAGACATCAATGGCAAATGATTGTTAATTCCTGTTAATGTTTTTGTTGTTGGTGGTGGTGGTGGTAGTGTGTGTGTGTGTGTGTGTGTGTGTGTGTGTGTGTGTGTGTGTGTGTGTGTTTCCCCTCTTAGGGTTTTGCTGGTGAGAGATTATTTATTGCCTGTTTTTTGTGCGTGTAATTAACCTCTTGGGTTAGAGTGTTCTTTCTAGACCTTCTATAGGGCTGAATTTGTGGATAGTTGTTTAAATTTGATTTTATAATGGAATATCTTATTTTCTTTATCTATGGTGATTGAAAGTTTTGCTGGGTATAGTAATCTGGGCTGGCATCTGTGTTCCCTTATAGTCTGCAGGACATCTGTCCAGGTCCTTCTGGCTTTTAGAGTCTCCATTGAGAAGTTGGGTGTAATTCTAATAGGTCTGATTTTATACGTTATTTGGCCTTTTTATTTTGCAGCTTTTAATATTCTTTCCTTGTTCTTTGTGTTTAGTGTTTTGATTATTATGTGTTGAGGGAACTTTTTTTCCTGGTCCAATCTGTTTGGTTTTCTGTAAGCTTCTTGTACCTTTATAGCCATGTACTTCTTTAGGGTAGCAAAATTTTCTTCTATGATTTTGTTAAAAGTCTTTTCTAGGCCTTTGAGGTGCGATTCTTCTTCTTCTATTCCTATTATTCTTAGGTTTGGTCTTTTCATGGTATCCCAGATTTCCTGGATGATTTGTGTCAGGGATATTTTAGATTTAACATTTTCTTTGACCGATGTATCTATTTCTTCAATCACATCTTCAACACATGAGATTCTTTCTTTCATGTCTTGTATTCTGTTGATGATACTTGCATCTGTTGTTCCTGTTTGTTTACCTACATTTTTCATTTCCACAATTCCCTCAGTTTGTGTTTTCTTTATTGCTTCTATTTCCATTTTCAGGTCTTGAACAGTTTTATTAATTTTCTTCAATTGTTTGTTTGTTTTTTCTTGAATTTCTTTAAGGGATTTATTCACTGCTTCCAATTGTTGTTGTTTTGTTGTGTGTGTGTGTGTGTGTGTGTGTGTGTGTGTGTGTGTGTGTATGTTTTCCTGGATTTCTCCAAGGGATTTGTTCATTTGTCTCTTTAAGGGTCTCTATCATCTTTATAAAGTTGTTTTTAAGGTTGTTTTCTTGTGCTCCAAGTGTGTTGGAATATTCAGGGTTTGCTATAGACAGATGGTTAAGCTCTGGTGGTGACATATTGCCCTGGCTGTTGTGTTCTTACACTAGTAGTTAGGTATCTAGGTTTGGCATGGTTATGGGTCTAGGTGCTGATTTCTGAGTTTGTCTTTGTTGGATGGGTGTTTTGTTCCTTGGTTTCTATTTCCTCCTGGTCTTCTTACCAGAGTGACCTGTGGTTGAGTAGAGGGTCTCTGCTCGAGTTAGGGGCTCTAGCTCTGGCAGCCAGAGTGGCCTCTGGTGTAGTCAGGAGGTCCTTTGTGGTTTTGGGTGCTGGTGTGCCTTCTGCCAGAGGTGTGGCTCATATATTTTCTTTTACTGTTAGAAATGTTATTTTCCCTTGATGCACTCAGGTCTGTCCTGCCCTCAGGATGGAGTCTTTAGGGAGTTTGTTCTGTCATCTCTGCCTGGGGCCTGTGCTTTGACAGTCTTCCTTCCATCCACCCACGGCTCTCCTGGCACTGCTGCTGCTGAGGTCCAGCCCACTGGCTGCTGTGGCACTGCCACCTTACATGAGTTTTAGGTCCTTGTTTCTTGGCTGTTCTTTCTCTCAGTATTTCCCCCCTTTTCTTTCCTACATGATGCTGAGGGCCATTCTCAGGGCTTGGTTCCTGTGAAGCACATGGTTTACCACCAAGATTATATCCCCAGTTCTCTTTCCTCTCTTTTAATTAGATAACATTAGGTTATTGAGTTTTCTTTTTGTTTTTATTTGCTTTTGTTTTCTTCCTGGTTAGGGTATTGTTTATTTTGTGATGGTGGAGATCAAATTCAAGGCCTGAGCATTCCAGGCAAATCCTTTACCAGCAAGGTTGTACCCAACCCCTTTATTAAAAATCTGTGTCTTCTGTACTGTTTTAAAATTTCTTGCTGTCCCCATATAACCTTTTTGTTTGATCTAATTTGTGTTCAAGGCATCAAGAGCTGCCAACAACCCATGACTCCTCAAACTAGAGCCTATGACATCTGCTGCTGTTTCCTCACCCTGGGTACCTAGAAGGATCTGTATATCTTTAAAGTAAATTACTAAGTTCTTTCGTTAGTTCTCTTCACTATCAGGTATCCCTTAGAGATTTTACCCATTGTTGTAGTTCTAGCCATCAGCTTTAGATAGCTTACTAGCAAGCTTGCATTTGGAACATTAATTTGTGACCTTTTGGCTTTCTGTTGGGTGAGTGATAATTGCATTAGATCAAATATTTAGCTAGGAACCATAAAGGAGTTAATTATCACTAACAACTTTCATTCTGTTCTGAGAAGTACTCCTCACTTGAGTGTTATTTCATTTTACTAATGTTTGACACACGTATGAGAGGATGCTCTGGAGAACAGTTGATAATTGATATGTCTACAGGATAAGTGGTATTTTACCAGAAGAAGAAATCATGGATGCTATTTTATTCAAGGGAATGCCTAAAATGGTAAATGGCAGGAAATGAGTCTGGAAAGTTAGGCTTCAGTGCAAATTAAAAATATTAGAAGGGCATATATTAGCAATGACACCTCGCATGGACCAGATGACTGATCAACAGTTATCTCTGAATGGGTTGAGGCTTCACAGAAACTCCTCACAGAAGCTAACTGCTGTTCTGTTTTTGTGCCACTTCTTATTTGTCACAACTATGTGAATACTCACAGAAGCGCTTGAATGAAAAAAGTTGAAAAATCCTTGAGTTAAGCATCCCAAAAGAAAGGAAATGATTAAAATGTGGCTGTACTGAACTAAGTTATATCAACAGATTTCCCCCCCATCAATTAAGAAAGAATATACTAAGCCTGAATTTCATGAATTTCAAAAACAGTTGGTAGTAGATGAGCTCCCATTAGCCATTCTCTAATAGATCCCCCATGCTGCTTTATTTACTTATTTGAGAGCTGGAGATTAAACACGGGGTATTATGAAGGCTTAGCATGTACTCTTCCACTAAGCAATACCCTCAGTCCTCTTTATTATTTCTTTAAGAAGAAAAAAGTACTCCATCACCATAGTGAAATGTTTTGGATACTTCCAATGGCATTTGAGAAAACAAGCTTTCATTAATTAGATTGGTGCTGCAGACACCATTAGGGTCATTCAGTTGTTATTTCAATTTTGTTTTTCTAACTTTGTGTAAGAACTAGGAATGCCTTTTAGACAAGTAATAAAGCAGATTTGTTTTGCTGGGCTTACAGTTACTCAGTCTCTGATTTTAAAAAACCAAATGCATAGAACCCACAAAATATGAACCCATAAAGGAGCTTTCAAAACTTTAATTACCAAATAAATATTAATCCCAAGCCTCCCACACCGTTTTCTGTGATGGAGAATAGCTACACACCATCGACAGTGCCCTTCCCACACCTTTTACAGTGATGGAGAATGGCTATACACCATGAACAGTGCCCTGCCCATTCCTATGACTTGTTTTTGCTGTCTTCCTTGGCCTTTGAATACTACCAGACATCTCCATGCACTTGTATGGAGATACACCCCTTTTAACAACTATGGACAACAGCTTTGAGCCTCTCTGCTTAAGACCTAAGCATTATTAACATTTTGGTCCATTTAAAAACTACATAATTTGGCAATTAATGATTGACTTATTTTTTTCATTGTAACAGATGTTTTTCTATTTTAAAGCCAAAACATCAAATTATTTTAATGGTAAAGAATTTAGTAAATATATTTGGAAAGCTACTGTAGAATTAATCTAAATACACTCAGTCACTATTGACAATATATTTTATATAATTATAACACATTTAAAATGTTCAGAGATAGCTGGGTATGGTAGACAGCTTTAATCCAAGCACTTGGGAGGCAGAAACAGACAGATATCTAAGTTTGAGGCCAGCCTGGTCTACATAGTGAATTCCAGGACAGCCAGGGCTATGTAGAGAGACCCTGTTTCTAAAAACCAAAACAACAACAAAAATAAATGTTCAGAGGCTTTTTTACTGAGTAAACTGAGTTTACTTATGTAAACTGAGTTGGCATTAAAAGCACTGAAAACATTGTTTTACTATTTCTTTTAAAGAATTTTTTCTTTCTTTTTGAGATTTGTATGCATAGATACAATGAAATACAATTATATCTATCCCCTCTGCTCCCCTCCAACTCCCTCTCAGCAAGGACCTCTCTCTTGAACAACAGAGGCAGGTGCATGCCATGATAGAAGCCAGGGACTTGCAGGTTAGTTTTCTCTTTCTTTTTTGGTTTTTCGAGACAGGGTTTCTCTGTGTAGCTTTGGCGCCTTTCCTGGAGCTCACTCTGTAGCCCAGGGTGGCCTCAAACTCACAGAGATCCACCTGCTTCTGATTCCCGAGTGCTGGGATTATAGTTTTCTCTTTCTACTATGTAGGTCTTAGTTATTGAATTCAGGTTGCCTTTACCTCCCAGGCCCTTTCACTAGCCCCTGTGTTCTGTTATCTTTAAGGTAAATAAATTGAAGTTTGGAAAAAAAAATGGCTTGTTTGTTGTTGACAAATTTTACTTTCTGTGGTTTAAAAGGTCAGTTTCATGATATTCTGATACTTCTTGATATTTACAAACAGAATGATTGTATTGTTTCAAGAGGGTTCAAGAAATTTTTTTAATGTTTGTTATACTATATTTATATTGATTACCCTTAGGTGTAGTCAGAACAGTATTAGTGTATACAAGAAGACCTGAAAAACCCAAGTCCTAGTTAGAAACATCACATGCACACAAATTTTACTGCACTTCACTTGTAGATTTCAAAAATTACTTTAGATATAAAAATATTACAAATTAAATTTGTATAGACTGATACTAAGACAGGAATGTTATACTTAGTAGCTGTTCAAATTTAGAATTTTATGTTTGTATTAATGGGGTGTTCTTTCTCTAAACAGGAGAAAGCACCCACCACCTTCCACCTGTGAAAGCCCCTCTTCAAACAAAGAAGAAAATAACGAAACATTGTTTTCTTTGTGGAAAGAAAACAGGACTGGCCACTAGCTTCGAATGCAGGCAGGTGGCCCTGGAGAAGCTGAGAGGCTTTCTCTGTGGGGACTCAGCATGGGGGTTAATGAGAATAAAACAATGTTTAACCGGCCATTCATACTATCAAGATGATGTTCTAGAGGCAACCTCAGATGAATTCCTAATTGGCCAGAGAAAGATAGCTAGCTCATCAGTTTCCAAAAGGCCTACGCAGAGACTCCACTGTCCTTGAACTAGGACATTGAAGCCAGTTGATTTATTTGAATTCTGCTTGGAAAAGCCCCTCCTTGTAGATTCTGTAGTTTAACATTTGGTACAGTTTTTTCAAGATACATGATATATATTCTTAAATAGTTATTTTTTCTTTTCATAAGTATGTCTTTCATTAGCATTGATTGATACCTGCTCTTAGTGTGAAGACAAACATTGAAAAGAATTGTGGCCTTTTAGAATGCATTCTGCTCACATAAAAATAGCTTTTTTTTTTTTTTTGCTGGAATGTGTTTTACGTTCTCTCATGTCTTAGCTTTTTGTTGGTTTGCAGGTTTTGTTTATTTTATTAGACAGACTCTCATCATGTAACCCTGGCTGGCCTAGGTCTTGCTATATACACCAGGCTGGCCTTGAATTCACAAAGATCTGCTTGCCTCTGTCTCTGCCTCCTGCTGAGATTAAAAGCATACACCACCATGTCCAGCCTTACATAGCTAATTTTTACGTAGCCTCATTTTCTCATGAGACTTAATTTCTTAGAATTCAAATTTACTAAATGTAAAAGATATGATGAACATGGTACCAGCTTTTCACTTTTTTACTTCAAAAGATACATACCTGTCATTCGTGAACAGGCACCTTGTTCTTTTAGGGCCTTTATACTTACGAGTGGAAGGGACTATCCATGCTGAAATTGCTAAGGAGATCCAGAGGGCTTTTGCTGGACTACCTGAAGGCACGCTTTTCTCTCCTAACGAGATGAGCCCTCTGTGGCAATCTGACTATTCACATACACTTTTTTTGTGCTTTAGATGTGGAAACAACTTCTGTGCATCTCATCGCTATGCAGAAACTCATGGCTGCACCTATGACTACAAGAGTGCAGGGAGGAGATACTTGCAGGAGGCAAACCCTGTGGTCAATGCACCAAAACTTCCCAAAATCTAACTCTTCTCTGCGCTTTACTGCTCTGCCTGAGGAATCCTATTATATTGACAGAAGAAATATTGTTTAGACTGCATTATTTTTGTTCGACTCCAAAAGATTTGCCAAATAACAAGAGCACACAGTGCATACTGTTGGAGAATGAAAATGCCTATTGTATTGATGTCTTTATTCTTTGGTGAATCAAAAGTTCTAAAAGTAGTTTTAAAAACTTTACACTATAATGATTTAGTTTTGTTATTGCATGTCTGTGTTAAGTATTTTATATTTGAGATTGGAATTATTTATTAGACAAATCTTCAAAAGATGCACTTTAGGAAGTTACCATAGGCTAAGTAACCAGGCTTCCATGTTGTACAGAAATGAGTGTTTCTGTAATGGCTCTCTTCAAACTGAGCACATTTTGTCCATTTTTCTTTCTTTTCTTGTGGGGATGGGGTAGATGGAATTTTTTCTTTTTATAAATCCCACGTGTGAAAGTTTATGAGGTTTACTAGCAGGTTCTTTTTTAAAGAACATTTGTTTCTCCAGTGTGATTTTTAACACATATATTTCTTCCATATTCAGATTGGCATTCATATATGTATCCATTCTGTAGAACACATCATGTTAATATAGTATACATTTCTTAAAATACTACTTTTTAAATGGTAGTTTTAAAATAACAGTGTCTTCCTTATTGCCATTGAAAACAGAGACTAACTTTTCACTTTTCAAAAATGGCTATATATATTTTTAAAAGTCTCACAAATTTGGTTTATTTTTATTACATATTGAGTGCTTTTGCAGGGGAAAATAATATTCAAATAAATATTCAACTTCAAAATGACTTTATTTGATTATTTACATTATCTTTTATAAAATAGGTAAATCAGTGATTTATTATACTTGAGGAAAATGACTGGCAGTATAAAAGGATTTTTAAAGGTCTAAGGACCATGTTCCTTAGGTGTTATCCATTTTCCATTCAGGACTTTGGAAGGCCATTGAAGCTGATGCCAGGCAGCAGCTGTTAAGCAGCCCGGCTAGTGGCTGTACCTTTGATCTCCTAGAGGAATTCCAGGAGGTCGTTTTGGTGCTTCATGGATCCCTTACTCAGTGAGAGTTTCCTGGAGAACTCCTGATACTCTTCCCTTGTTTCTTGTAAGAGACTGAATGTTGATGGACAAAGGTGCTGATAGACCTGTAGTAAAGCACATTTGTAAAAGAGAATGGTTGAGAAAAAAATGTAATAGAGGAGCCTTAAAGTCAAAGGTGGAAGGCATGCTTTTTGGGTTGTTTTGGGGTTTTTTTTTTTGTTGTTGTTTTTTGAGACAGGGTTTCTCTGTGTAGCTTTGCGCCTTTTCCTGGATCTTGCTGTGTAGACCAGGCTGGCCTCGAACTCAGAAAGATCCACCTGCCTCTGCCTCCCGAGTGCTGGGATTAAAGGCGTGCGCCACCACCGCCCGGCTGGGTTGTTTTGGTTTTTTGGTTTTTGAGAGAGGGTCTCACACTGTAGCCCAGTCAGGCCTTTGAATTTGCAGCAGCTTTTAAGCCTCAGTCTCTCTTGTGCTAGGTGTAGTTGGTTGTTTTACTTTTTACTCTTTGGGGGCCTGCCGCCCAGCTCCCAAATAAATACACGGAGTCTTATTCTTACTTATGAAGGCCTGGCCTTAGCTTGGCTTATTTCTAGCCGACTTTTCTTAAATTATTCCATCTGCCTTTTTCTCTGGGCATTTATCTTTCTCTATTCTATATACCTTTCTTTACTTCTTACTCTGTGGCGTGCTGTGTAGCTGGTTGGCTGGCTCCTGATGTCCTCCTCCTTTTCTTGCTCCTCTTTTCTCTCCTGCTTCTTCTGTTTATTCTCTCTGTCCGGCAGCCCTGCCTATTTCCCTTCTCTCTCCTGCCAAGCTATTGGATGTTCAGCTCTTTATTAGACCAATCAGGTGTTTTAGGCAGGCAAAGTAACACAGCTTTACAGAGTTAAACAAATGCAACATAAAAGAATGCAACACACCTTTGCATCATTAAACATATATTCCACAGCATAAATGAGTATCTAATATTGCACAACAGCTAGGATTATAGGCTTGAACTACCACACCCTGCTGAGAGTATGCTTTGTGTGTGGTGCATACATGTGTATGAGTGCGCTCAATGGAGGCCAGAGCAGAACGTCAGATGACCTGGACCAGTATGCCAGTCTTCAGTGACAGGATCCTAAGTGAGATGGGTAGGAGATGAGAAGATGAAGAAAATAGGAAAACTGGGGTCAGGAGATCTTATGCCAAACAAGATTCTTAAGTGTACAGCATCTTATATACTGTTCCAGGGGAGAAATGGGACCGAGTCAGAGGCAACTATCATATAATGTGACAAAGTCAGCAGGAAGCCAGTCAAGCAATGTTGTACGAAAGGGAACACAGGTTATCTTAAGTGCATCACTGACTGAGTACATAGTGGCCTTGGGACTGATTACTCCAGTCTCTTTCAGGGGTGGAGGAGCTAAGCTCCTAGGAACCAAAACCTTGTCTTTGAGGCCCTGGCCAACAGCCCCAGACTGGACCTTGCCAAGTCTGCCCCTGGGCAAGGACACAGAACTAGGTTCCCTTTGTCCTTTCATTGAGGCCTCTAAGAAAGCCATGGATCCCTGAACAGTCAGGTGTCTTTCTTGGATATATCACTCTCCACCTTACTGCTTTGAGACAGGGGTTTTGCCATTTGGGCTGGCTGGCTGGTTAACCAGCTCCCAGGATCTGTCTGCCTCTGCTCCCTACACCCTTCTCAGTGCTGCGGTTACGGAGCCATGCCCAGCTTTTTACGTGGGTGCTGGGCATTTGAACTCAATTCCTCATGCTCACTTGCAATTCAAGCACTCTCAATCACTGAATCATCTCCCTAGGTCCTGAAATGCATGTTTTTAAAAGAGGAATAAATAAAGGTTAATGACAAATACGTTTACCTATCAATAAATAATTGCCTTTCTTCCCTTATCAAATAACAAATGTGGTTTGACATATAAAAATTAAAAACTCATTTTATCAGGCCACTGAAAAATGAACCAAAGCATATTTATTGTATAAATATGAATACCTAGGTCAGGCTGTGTGTACTTTTAACTCATAATTATTAGTAGAGATAAGTCTTTAAGTTTTACAAATGATTTGGGTCAAGGTTGCATCAATTTTGTCTGATACTGGGGATGAAATCTGTAGCCTAAGCAAGCACCCTGCCACTGAGCACACCCTCAGCCCACAGTTGAGTTGGTTTGCTAGTTTCTGAGTCACTTAGAGATGAAGCACTATTGTTCAAAAAATGTTATCATTATGAGAGGGACTTCAGAGACTTCCGACCTGTCTTCGTTTCAGTGATGAGGAGTGTGCCCTGCATACAGCCCTGGCTACAGCCTTGAACAAATGAACTGCCGTATTGCATAACCTATATAACTTTATCAAATGCTTTTAAATCTCAATCATTTTATATTCAGTTTTTAATTTGTAAAAGCCGAACACATTTGGTTTAACAGTATTGAAAGTCTTTATATTCTTAACTTTTTGTTGTTTTGATTTTTCAGACATGATCTTACTCTGTAGCTCAAGTTGACCTGAAACTCACAATGTAGCCTTGGCTGGCTTCAAACTTGTGATAGTGATCCTGCCTCAACTTCCCAATATTTTAAAACTTTTAACTATGTAAAATATTCCAAGTTACATTTAGGTTCTAGGGCTGTAGCTCAGGTGGTAGAGTGCTTACCTAGCATGCACAGAGCCCTGGAGCCCTAGCATTGGAGAAGGGGAGGAGTGGGGTTAGAGTTCACCTGCATCCTTGGTTTACATAGTCACTCAGAGACCAACTTGACTCCATGAGTCTGAATAAAAAAAACAAAAAACAAAAACAGAATTAGTTATATTTAGTGCAATGTAATCATTCAGCCAGAGGAAATTAAAATGTTTATATGTTTCATATTACTACTTCTGAAGTGATTTAATTGTAAAATAGAGATGGGAATTTTCTCTTAGGACTAATATGGTTTTTTTTTTTTTTTTTTTTTTTGGTTTTTCAAGACAGGGTTTCTCTGTGTAGCTTTGCGCCTTTCCTGGAACTCACTTGGTAGCCCAGGCTGGCCTCGAACTCACAGAGATCCGCCTGGCTCTGCCTCCCGAGTGCTGGGATGAAAGGTGTGCGCCACAACCGCCCGGCAACTAATATGGTTTTAAGCCACCATGATAATCAGATTTTGTATCCAGAAGTACTTTTTAAAGTGTGCCCTCTGTACCACTCCTGAAACATGAGATGCTTGTAGGATAATGTTTATGGATAAACATTCTAAAATAATTAGTTTCAATGTCTGTCATAAAAATAAAACTGCAAAGCATTCTAGATTGAAAAGGTGAAATAGGTTGATTTAGACTTTTAAAAAGCTGAGTGAATGCTCACAAGTGGCTAGGATACAAATAACAAAAATCACAGATCTGAGTGACTGAAATTTAGGAAATGCAGGTACAGTATTTTAACTTTCCTTTGAAAACTGTTAATTTTTTTTTTAAATTTCTAATAGAAGTAATATATATCAGAAAAAAATAGAAAAGTCAAAATTTCATAGACTGCTTCCAACTTTTTTTCTGGTAACCTCTGTTCTTTTGGCAGTCACCATATATAAACGATAGCATATGTAGATACTCTTTCATGCTGTGTATGGTCACATGAAGAATGCACTCCCACTTTTTGTCAGGATAGTGGTCTGCTCAGATTGTCATAACAAAACACCATAGACTAGGCAGCTGAAGTGGCAGTTGTGCACGCACAGTTCTGGTGCCTGCGAGTGCTATGTGTAGGCCCAACAGGTTCTGTTTGTGGAGCTTTCTAGCTTGCGTATGGACTGCCTTCTTGTTATATACCTCACATAACTTTCATGTGTATGCATGTAATCGAGGTGAGGGCACACAGGAAAGGAACTCAAAAAGAAGACCGCAGTGTCTTCTACTATAGACACTGGTTCAAGCAAAATTTGGGCCCCTGATATGATCTAATTTAATCATAATTACTTCCTTACTCCTAATGAAACCATGCTGGGGCTTAAGGCATCCATATGAATTTTGTGAAGAGATATGAATTCATTCCATAATGCTCCACTATTGGCCCCACAAAATTCATGTTCCTATGTGAAAATGTAAATGGAAAATTTTTCTATCCTAACAGTTCCTCAGTCTTAGTTTGTTCCATTAGATGTGATAACCCAGTCTTATTTAAACACCATCTAAATCAGGGTTAGGTAAGACTGAGTCTGATTCATCTTTATGCAAAATTCCTTTCCAGCTGTAAACCTGTAAAATCAGAAAATTTTATGCTTCCAAAATCGAACAAGGTCAGTCATAGGATTGACATCACTACTGCAAAAGGAACACCCATCAAAGGATTACAGTTTCCTAAAGCAAGTCAGACCTGGCAAGGCAATCCCATTAGATTTTAATTCTCAAGAAATACCCTTTTTGATCAGATGTGTTCTCCAGGCCTAATAAGATAGCAATTGTCACCCTTATTGAAGTACATCCTGGTTTTGTCCCTGAGGTACTGGACAGTGTTATGATGCCTCTCTGGCAGGGAAATACCCAGCCTTGGAAATGAAAAAAACAGTAAACCCTGAACCCTGAGCATATGGTGTGAAATGAACTTCCTTGCTAACTTGGAATCTCAGTTTGGAGACATTTTTAAATTGATTTTTACAGTGCTGAGATGGAACCCAGGGCCTTGAGCATGCTGAACCTTAAGCATGCTGGACAAGGAGCACTGCTCAGCTATATTATAGCTCTTCACCTCTTTTTGGAGAGTTTCACTATGTACCCCAAC